TACCTCATTTCGTCCTCGAGACAAAGCTTCATCTGTGTCTGGCCCAGTGCCTGTGGCCGGAAGAGAGCGGCTATATGACAATGGCTCAGGTAACCGTTCAAGACGGATGCCGTCCCCATTGAAACTAGATGCAGGTTCTCGGTCAACACGATCATCGGGTGTAAACAGAAGCGTATCTCCTGTACCAGCGTCTATTCCAATTCCTCCATTTTCTATACCGACATACCTCCAGCTCGAACTGTCCTCTCACAGGCCATCATCCCTCTACATCCATCGATCAGGAGCTCATGATTTTCCCTATGAAAGCTCTAGGGTAATGTTAGAAAGATTGCAGAATTTCTTTCTTCTTCCTCCACTTCTAGAACAGGCGTTATGTTTCGGCACTCTTGCCTGTCTCGACTCGTGGTTGCACACTTTCACCCTTCTCCCGTTACAATTTCTAAAGGCTGTTTACATCCTGCTACAGTCCTGGATGATTAATCTTGGACTTGAGATCCGGTTTGTTACCTCGTATATAGTGAGCGGTCTCGGTCGGATGTGGAAACGTCGACGACGGCGTGACTCTGTCCGTGAAACAACGCATGAAAAACCAATCAATATCAAAGATTCTTCACCGAAGCTTATACCCATTGACCTGTCACCGATAGATGGCAGTCCAGCCCTAGACCCAGCTTCAGGCTCAGAAGCACGTCGACGCCGTGGATCTACGACTCGAAGACATCGGAGGACCAAGTCTATTCCGTCTACGCTACTTGAAAATGACAAGGCAGATATCCTCAAGGGATTACTGATGATATTTACCTGCACTATTCTGATGTACTTCGATGCAAGTCGAATGTACCACTGGATTAGAGGGCAGGCAGCTATCAAGCTCTATGTTATATATAACGTTCTTGAGGTAGGTGCATACAAACTCATTCACTTTGAAGGACTTATCTTACTGATCCCCTCCTTAGGTTGGTGACCGGCTACTTTCCGCCATTGGCCAGGATGTTCTCGAATGCCTATTCTCTCAAGAAGCACTGGAACGAAGACCGGATGGCCGAAGCAAAGTCGTACGCCCGTTTTGGATGTTTATTTTCGCTCTTATATATACCGTTATCCACGCCACGGCGCTCTTCTATCAGGTGATGACCCTGAATGTGGCGGTGAACTCATACTCCAACGCACTGATTACTCTACTATTATCTAACCAGTTCGTCGAGATTAAATCGACGGTCTTCAAAAGGTTTGAAAAGGAGAATCTGTTTCAACTCACCTGTGCAGATGTTGTTGAGCGGTTCCAGCTATGGCTCATGCTCATCATAATCGCATCCAGAAATTTTGTGGAAACAGGAGGCTTCAAGCTCGGAAATGCCTTGACATCTCAAAGCAGTGCGACAACTACCACGAACAGCACAACTGCCTTTAGGCCATCTACATCAATTCTCCCGCAATCATTCACCCTTCTTATCCCATCATCCGTATTTTCATCTTTGAGCAGTGTTAACTCCATTCTCCCTGCAATTGGCCACCTTTTGGCCCCTTTTCTTGTTGTTCTCGGTTCCGAAATGGTAGTTGACTGGCTCAAACATGCCTACATCAGCAAATTTAACAACCTTAAGCCAGCAATGTACGGCAGATTCCTCGACATCCTCGCCAAAGATTACTACGGCAGCGCATTTTCCGATCCTAATCTTAACCGTCGCCTCGGATTACCGGTTATACCTCTTGCTTGTTTATTTTTTCGCGTTTCAGTTCAGACATACCAGATGTTTCTAACTGCTTGGCTGCCGCAATTATCATCTTCCCCTTTCTACCCCCCACCGTCGAATGCTACATCTTTGACTGAGATACACAGTCACTACGCTCCTATTTCAGGCTCATCGGCCTCGTTATCTTCTATTCTACCCGATTTCTCCAATGCTTCCGCATCGACAATTCTATCTTCCATATCACTCTCGACAATTGCACAAGCGGCTTCTTCCATTTTCCAAACACTTGTATCATACGCCACACCCTCTCCCGAATCGTTCGTCCCTATTTTCACCGTCATCCTTGTCCTACTACTTTATATAACCTTACTTCTGGGAAAGCTTGTCCTGGGCATGATCCTTCTTGGCTACTCCCGCACAAGATACAAGAACATGAAATATCGGGAGCGTGAGTACGCAGCGCAGCAGAAACGAGAACAACGTCGCCAGCAGCAACAACAATACATGAAATCCACATCCCCTTTGCCCCATGTGCCTTCATTGCCTGCTCAAACTATCGAATCATCCTCGTTCAATAGTGCAAGCAACAGCAACAGCGATATGATAGAAGGAGGTCGACGTGGCGGCGGCTGGGGCGCTGTGGAGGTTGGAGAAGATAAAAGAAGATGGATATACGTCGATGACCCGGAGGGTTTGCGAAGGCTGCGCGACCGGGAAGCGAAGAGCAGGAGCGATAATCCCGGTGGGTCTGGGAGCGGGGCTCATGGGCTGGAAAATGTGAAAAGGTATGAAATGGCGGCGAAGAGAATATGGTAATCAATGTATTCAACGCCTTTTGCTACCAATACTAGAATAGGGAATAAAGTCAGAAGACGTTCATTTCTTTTAGTTGTTTGAGAGATCATATGGCAGAAGACTACTCTACATTTCTCTACTGAATGAGGCTAAGAGCTGAAGAGGCCAACGACGAAGTATGTTCACTCTTGACGACCATAAAAGAAGGTTTTATGGAAGTGGGTCCGGGGTTAAGCATAAATGAGCCGCAACCTCAAAATTAGCCCACTCCATGATCTAAATAAATAAGTCTATCATGATCTATAGCATAATATATTAGAAAGAAAACATTTTCAGCGCTCGAATAGCCCTAATAAACTGTATTACCAGAACATGCAAATACAGCAGAGAGAAAAGTAAAATGTTAGTATTTGGCTCGTCTCCCGATGCTTTCTCTATCCTGGCAGCAAGATAATTACAGAAATTGTTCAATAACGGTGAGTTCAATGTGACTTAGGACGTCGTTCCCAGCGAATCCGCGCGGGTTTCATTGGTCCAGAAAACAGTGATGAGTAGTCTGTAGCAGGTACACCATTCTTCCCCTCCAAGCTGTATAAGCGCAAGTGACGCACCACCGTAGCAACTATCACAGTTAGGTTGACGTAGGCAAATTTTTCTCCAATGCATCGGTGCCGACCAGCTCCAAATGGGAGATATGGGCTATTAGACCCCTTAGACATAACACCGTAGCCGTAATCAACCATATCGTTTTCCTTTTCATCAGTCTTGGGTTTTTGGGCGTCCCATCGATAAGGATCCCACTTCATCGCGTTGGGGAAATGCTCGTCGCTCTGGGCCGTTACTCCCGGAGATGCGAGTAAGACATGCGATGTTGGTACCACATAAGGGGTACCAGGGACCGGCATCGGGTTCTTGACCTTTCTCATGAGCGAATGGATTGACGAGTTGAGGCGGAGGGTTTCGCGGATCACATTTTGATGTAGCGGAAGGTTGTCAAGGTCTTTGTACTGTAGGGGAGCCAGGCAGCCGTTGGGACCGGTATGTGGCAGATTGGCTAGCTGCTCTCGGTAAAGTTCTTCCACTATATCTGGTTGAGAGGCTAGACGAAGCATAATCCAGGAGCTGATTGAGGACGAGGAGTGCTGACCGGCCATTAGTAGGGTGATCATCATATGCGCAATTTCCTTATCCGGTAGCGGCTGTCCATTTTTATAGGTGCATTGCATCAAATTGTGAATCATGTCCGTCTGGGTATTGTTGGACTTGGCTCCTTCGCGACGTCGCTTCTCAATAATATCGGTATAGATGGCACGCATACGAGAGTGGGCAGCATCGCGCTTCTTATTATGTGGCAAAGGGGCCCACGGTAGCATGAAATTTATAGGGGTAAACCCCTTATCCAGATCATGATATAGAGCGGCAAACTCGGTCGTAAGTTTCGAGCGTACCTCTTGCCCCTGAAGGGTAATACCGGCGGTAAAAATAGTTATTTCAGCCATTGCGCTCGAAATATCTACGTCTCCGGATTTTCCGTGAAAATTGGGAGAAGTATTAAGATAATCTAACACTTCTTTCTCGATCAAGGGAACGTGAGCCTCTAGTGCCGCTGATGAGAGACCGTATTTGATGAATTTCTTCTGTTCCATGAGCTTGGAATTGGGACAATCGTAAACCACATCGGACCCAAAGACTGGAGTTGTTAAAGGGGAATACACCTCCTCTGCATTCACATCCTTTAATTTGCCATTGAGAATGAATTCGTTGCCCTTGATTCCCAGGTATACGGTAGTGTGACGACCCAGGAGGACAAACGTGAAGATATCGCCATGCTAGAGCCAGATGATCAGTATTAGCTGGTCAATGAAGCACGGTACAGGCTGGTGTTTATTCATCTCTCACCTTCTTTTGACAAGAAAAGAAAAACTTATATGGATCCATTCCATAGCTGATAGTGTTACCCAGGAATGGGATCCAATGGAAGACTAAAGGGGGCCTGGATTTGTTTAGTAGGCGAAAAAGCAGCTGATAGACGACATTGAGAAAGATGGCCGCGATAAAACCTAGAAAAGCGTAGGCGCCCAATGTGAACACGGCCATGCTTGATTAACTGACGAGGACAAGAAATTGGTAAAAAGTGATTCAATATTAGCTGAAGAAATGTTGGACGCGGCGTTGATTTCCCCGGACTAAATAAGCAACTAGAGCGGATGGCTCCCCAGCCAGCCCGGGAACCTCGCTTCCGGATGGGCAGATTTCGTATCCAGAGAAAACATGATAAATTCGACGATCAACTGGCTATATTAAATAAGCCCAACTAGATAATGCTATTGGCTGGCTATTACTTACTATCATATGCCTGTTAAATATCGAGGGAGAGAAAGGCTGACTCAGGCCAAAGGTAACAGACGCCCAATTTTCACTGTATAAAACGAAGCCCAACCAGTCCGTTTAACCCAAAAATAAACGTGAAAGAGAAAGCAAAGCCAAACGGGGTATATGCAGTAACTAAATTTAGTTTCCAGAAAACATGCTCTTGAAAATTTCACGGCTGTTATACAGATTTTGGATCCTTAAACGTTCATTATCTAGATGGGCATTATCACTGGCTTGACCACAGGGTAAATGAGCAGCCGGAGCACCGAATTCTTTTTCCAAAAGTCGAATAGTGGGGATGGATCCTCCTTCACGGATGTAGATTGGCTTGATGAGGTTTCTAGCGTTGTTGTCTGCCTGTCCAGAGATAGAGTGAGAGCGTTTTTCTTGGGCAGAGCCTTGACTTTCACATGTCGAAGTAGGTTTGATGCCATTTGAACCAGAGGTGGTCGATTGATCGACAAGAGTTGAAGACGTTGGAATATACTGCTTTTGCGTTGCAGCAGGAGATTTCGGTGAGGATGAAGAAGTAACGACATGTGCGGCGTCAATAGAATCGGTATGAATTGGTGCAGGACGACTGCGTAGTTGCGGTTTATTCAGTGGAGGGTAGTTATATTCCTGGCTACCATTGCCTTGCTTTGTCCATGTTAATGTCACGGCATGGGAAAGAGCTTCAAATAGTTCATTATCAGGGTCTCCGAGCCATGGATCTGCAGTTCCGGTAATTTCGACGGTGAGGGTATTCTGCGAATTTAACTCGGAGAATTGAGCCTGAGCATAGTTGATTAAGTCCTCTGCCACCTTGCTTGACTCTTGGTTTGGAACGATACGAATAGAAAGCGAGGCTTTTGCCTTCCTTGATATAGTGGTGGTCGACTTTTTGCAACTAGGAATGTCAATGCAGTGAATGGTTAGCGAGGGTTCACGCCAACGATGCATCAGAGATTCCGTAAATGATTCAAAATTCTTGATCTCAGGGTGGTGCGGTAGTAACGCCTCGGCAATAGCATCGTAGCGTGCCTTTTCGGTGGGTGTTAATGATAAAACCGGGTCATGAAAGCCCGGAAGATTGATCGCTCCTTTGGGTCCGACTATCGTTCCTAAAAGCAGTGTCAGGTCCTTGAGAGGTTCGTCGAGTAGAGAACTTCCATCAATTCCACTATGGAGATCTGGTTGATTGCTTGATACAACAATATTTGCATGTACCACTCCTCGTAATCCATATGTCAGGCAAGGAATGTGGTCATCCAACCAGTAGCTGTTGGCCAGGAGAATCCAGTCAATAGGGCCGATCAAGGTTTTATTTTCACGGATAGCTTGTCCAAACCCCTGCGAACCGGATTCTTCTTCTCCCTCAATGAGAAAAACAACATTGTGAGACAACTCCTTTCGCTGATAGAGTTCTGCTGCAGCATAAAGAGCAGAAAGGGATGGCCCTTTGTTGTCGGAGACGCCACGACCATATAAGTACCCATTTAGGGAGGTCAAGTGGAATGGGTCAGTGTTCCACTTAGGATGGCTTGCTCCAGCTCCAACAACGTCATAATGACCATAGAAAAGAATGGACTTGTCCTTCTTTACAGGTGCATTCGCTGGGAATTTGGCAAACACAATTGGATTTTTCTTCTGTCCTGTCCCAAGTAGCTTAGTCTGAGCTCCCAGATACTTGCAGTGTCTGCGGAGGAAGATTGCTCCCTGAGCACATTCGCCAGCGAACGTTGAGCAACCCGAAATTGTCTTGAATGCAATAAATTTTGCCAGCGTGTTGACCATCTCATCTGTAAATATTTCAAGTTAGAAAGAAAATGACGTATAATAAGGGAAAGGGGCCGTTACGTACCATTGCTAATGGCAGGTATCTCCTGTGAATCAGCTTTTTCGTCCGTCAAATCCCATAGAGCAACTGTGTTGTCATTACCACCAGTAGCAAAGATCCATCTATTCTTAACATTCCCGGAGGTAGAAGTGAGCATCTTCCCATCATGAGCTGTCCATGTTCCGAGCTCCTCAAAACGAGAGTTGAATTTCTAGATGAGTTAGACAACATTCACTGCATCTTGTGAGTTGGAAGCTAGGTATTCTTACCTTCACGACACCATCCGAATCACCACTCAGAATGAACCCTTTGATAATGTCAATTGCCCATACGTCACCAGTATGGCTAGAGATTGTTTTGATGATCTGTCTCGACTCCAAATTCCAGACATTTATTGCCCCTCCCGAGAGACCACAATAGAGGAATGTTCCGTCAACCGAGATGGATAGAACCGATTCGTCTCTATTTTGAAGTGTAAAAAGCTCCGTTGGCGCCACGCCCGGACCATGACCGAGTTCCCATATTTTTACAGATCCATCACCAGATCCTGTTAAAAGAACCTCTCCGCCGCTGGTTTCTACCAGGCCCCTGACAAGTCTCATGCAATAAACGTATCCGTTATGGGCGAATAACCGATGTTGGTCTTTTCTAAAATATAGTTTCTGCCCTTGACTCTCGATTCCATTTTTACAGGCAGTAGAAATGGGCTCTGTAGCTCCGGGGCCCATGGAGTCAAAGAACTTATGCGGCTTATTTGCCTTGTTCCCAACTGCCTGAGGGATATCACTTTGCTGAAGATCGCACCACTAGAGAAAAACCAGTGAGTAAATAGCCCGGATACCTAAAGAAATGCAAACTATACCTGAATGCTTGTGTTTTGGCCACCGCAATACACCGTTCCCCTGTCCGAAGAGTACACTGTAGTGAAAATGTCCCCGGGGTCATGATGTGACTCTATCGAGTACAACTGCTCCAGCGTTCTCGTACACCAAACCTGTGACTTATTAGCACTGCTTCTTGCGAGAAATAAATTTGTCGGTTCATACATTAACGGTAGAGTCCCCGCCACTGGAAAATAAAAGCTCCTTATCTGGGGACAGATGAAGCCCAAGGACGCTCTCCTGGTGTGCTGCCACGGAAGCTATGGACTCATAAGTTGAAAGTGACCATGCCTATCCTAACATCAGCTTTGGACTGCGAAAAATACTCGCCGTGGTACTCACAACGATGTCTCCTCCTTGAAGCCCTGCGAATACGCAGTCCTTGCCAATAGCTAACGAGAGCACTGAACGGCTGGCCTGCAACCGATGAGCCACTCCAGAAGCAGTTCTGGACTCTGTTGTTGGCGATGAATCGGAGTCCTGTGCATTCATTCCAGTAGTTTCAGCTGTTGAGAGCTTGGTGAAGCCTGTATCAATGCCGTTGAGGTCTATATCATCCATGCCGTCAGTATACCCAAGATGAGAACTACCAAAAATGCCCAGCAAGCTCCTTCGTAATTTTGTAGTTAACTAATGTGCTAATTTAACCGAGCCACCACCTCATCTGCAGAAAGCTGCGTCCTGTGTCAATGATAAATGCTATGAATATCTCTATGTTATGTTGGTGCGAATTGGCGGAGGTTTTGGCCCAAAAGGAGTTTTTCCCCATCGAGCCGATGTCGACATCGTGTGGCGGTGGATTGACTTTTTGGTTCTTCTTTCACCAACTCCATCTCATCGACAGCCACACGACAAGCAGAGAAGATGCTTATACAGGCAGAGGGAGGCGGACCAACGGACTTGCAATGAGACTGACTCACCAAAAGCTGCAGACTGGCTGTAGTTGATGCCATATCTCAGCGTCGTTCGAGTGACGGATGGCGGCATGGCTGTGATCGGAGGTCGATGGGAGGTTAAATGAATCAAACAAGCGACAGAGCAACAGCAGCAATGGGCTTGATAATGCTATGACGACGGATTTCAAACGAGAGAATGCAAAGGTGTCGACAAGTGAACGAAAGTGACCAGCTATGTTTCTTTTCTACGCCAGAGGGAAAATAAATGGGAGGTAGGACATGGTCACTCGACCATATTTTAATCAACGATGCATGATGCACAATGGATTATCGGCAGACCAATTACTGTTTGTTATCGTGGGAATTTGCTGGTTTCAAGGGACCAGCCAGCCTGTTGCATCGACTGGCGCAGCTTCACCGCATCTATAGCTCGAAAGAGAGACTGCCATTAGGTTTGGCATTGCAGCTAGGCCGTGTTCCTCAAACGAGGAGCGTGAGGCGTGGCTTGGAGCTTGGAGCTTGGTATTTGACTTGGATCTCGAGTTGCCGGATAGGTAACTCTTAGAAAAGACGCCGTTAAGCCCGTTAACTAGTTAGTGAACGGTCTGCTAAATCGCCGGTTCTACGGAGGCACCCTGGCAGCGAGACCGGCATAGCGGGCAAGGCTGGATAGCTCATGCGGCCCGGCTTGCCGCAGAAGACGGTTAGTTGATTAGCTTGTGGGTTCGCCTCAGGATGAATAGTTAAGGGCAATGAAACAAGACGACGAAGGTTTCGGACCCTGTAAATATCCTCTACGTGGGCTGATATGGATTCGTCTCTTGCGTAGGTTCTTTCTGCAAAATAATGTGTACACAGTTTACGTGATATCATTTCGGCTTCTTATTTACGGTCATTAACGAAGAATCAGGAAAGAGAACTACACAATACGGGGTATCGGCTCTTTTACTATCGTGACCAGGTACCCCGTACAGGGTACTCCATATAGGGACATGTTCCACCATGAACCCAGGGGACGAGGCATCTCATCATGCATAAACCAGCCAATCAGAGATAAACCCCCATGATCAAGATATTGCTTGGGCAAGGCAACTCCCGTCTCTTGTGTGATTTTTTGATTGGTGTATATGCTTAGGTATACATGCTGAAGCGTGAGACTCCTACGTTTAGCGCGGATAGAAGTTTGCCTTGCAGACGGAAGAGGAAAAAGCAGAAAGTTCCGCGTGCATTGTTATGACGGAGAAGGGATAAAGGGCCTGGGGCCTTTTTTTTTTTCATACGGGACACGGAAAAATTGGAGTCTGGCAACAGACTGACTCTAGCCTTCACGGAGTATGGGGAATTTCCAAATCCGGACTGCAAAGCCTACTACGGTGAGAACTCCGTTAAACCTATTGAAATATATGGATGTCCTAGCACATCAGCAGGCTCAGCTGTCGGACGACCATGTAGATCCCCCTGCCGAGCATCTGGATTCATATGGACTCATACATACTTATATTGTTGCCGGAAACTCCCAGTATCACTTAATTACGGAGTACGGAGTACTGAATGCCGAATCGACGACACTGAAGGGATGATCAGAATATGTACGGAGGACTGTTTAACTCATTGGATGGGCAGATGCGGACGTCACGAAACTTCGAGAGACGAGAGTTGGATAGATGATGGCTTCCATTCTGTGGTATTATTGTTCAGAGCATCGACCGTCGGGACTCCGGAGGGGGTTTCATCAAACCTCTGATCCGTGGCGGCACCAGAGACGGAAATTTCGACGAAAAAAATGATGGGAATTGTTTCAACAGCAGTCAAAACCTCCCAGGGGTTTCGTTTGAGACATCATTTCCATCGGTTATGAAGTTGTCAACAAAGTGGCCGCTGCATAAGTAACTGGCTAACTACGCCATAAAGAAAGAAAGCGATGGATATTCGAGTCTTGATAGTCATGGACGGCTGGCTGCTGGCCGCAGTTAGGTAAACTCGCCCGATAGCTTTGTCTGTCGGTAGTTGCAAGGCCTGTAGACAAGCAGTGGACCAGGCGAAGACGGGATGCTTGTTAAAATGGCTAGTCCAATCGCTACCCGGCGGCCGGCGGTCCACTCACTCCTCTCCACTCGAATATACCGACCCCTACACCGTCGTTTCTCCCCATCGCACTCATCTTATCCAACTTCTTACCTCGCACCCATCCCCAGAGAAAGAGGGGAAGCAAAGGAGCGAGCAAAGAGTCATCCTCTGGAGGTCAGAGAAGATTCTGTATAGAGCAATTCTGCAGCTTTGCATCATCAACAGAATCGAATATCAAATTGCTGTGGCTGTTCTTGCATATAATACGAGAATCTGCGCCACGCTTCACCGCCACATTGTCATCGACTGGCTGCTTCCCTTTTTCTTCGTTCTCTTTCACGCCAATCACGCAGCCCAACCGCTTCATTCTCCCAGCCCAACTGAGGCCAGACAGGGAAAGGGGAGAGAAAAAGTAGGGCGCCAGTTGGCTAGCAGAGAGTGGGCGGATAGGCATCGCCGTGGATCGGATGGCAGTCGTTGGCTGGAGTGTCCCGCCTCATATAATAATAACTACTATCCCGGATTGCTGAGTTGGCAGTGGTAGTTATATACTCAGCAAGACGCTGCATTTCAGGACGGACCTCCTGGCACATCCGAATTAATCCATATATTTTTCATATTGAGTGCATATGGTAGTAGAAGCCTTCGGACAGCTTCTCCCTGACCAGGCATTGTGTACTGGTTCATCCAGAGCTAGACACCTATTTCAACAGTCAAAATGGCTGCCGCTATAGGTCAGACGATCTCCGTGATAGATAAGTCTGGCAAAGTTGTTAGCACCGTGAGTCCCGCCGTTGTCTTGCCACCACCAGTATTTTGGCTAAAGCTTTGCCCAGAGCAAACATCTATTCAGTGTGTTCAAAGAAGCTCGTTCTGCCTACAAGGAACGTAAGGCCGTCATCCGAAGCGCCGAGGAAGCAAAAAGGGCAGAACGAGATACCCGCCGGGCCCTCGCAGCATACACCCTCGAGGATGACCGCTCCACAACTTCTAAACGACACCTAGGCCGAGCCAAATCGGTTGTTCGGCATCATGACGATGACAGGCAAAGCAGACATCACAGTCATCACTCAAGCAGGTCGCAAAAACGCCGGTCATTCGAATTTGAAGTTCGATCCGAGTATCCAGATGGCTACCACCCCAACTCCCAGCTCGCACGGCGTCATACGGAGCATAACCTTTCCATGGCAAAGCCTGTTAGGCCCTCGTATGGTGAAGCACGCGCCCACACTCTTCCAAAAGTCGATATGGATCTCGCATACGGCGAATTCCATCAATCTGCACTTGATCGGCTCGACCCGGAACCTAGCGATATGCCCGGACTCGTAGGGAGGGTCAAGGATCTCCTTGTTGAAGCTGACTGTGCACACCACTCGGTTACGGCAACGATTGCACACCTGCAGTCAAACCCAGATGCCATGGCCGCTGTTGCTCTCACCTTGGCTGAAATCAGCAAGCTAGTGTCTGATCTCGGTCCCACAGCCCTTGCGACCTTGCGAGCCAGTGCACCAGCAGTCTTCGCCCTCCTGGCGAGCCCGCACTTCATGATCGCAGCCGGTGTGGGTATCGGTGTCACAGTAGTCATGTTTGGAGGATACAAGATCATAAAACAGATCTCATCGAAGCCAGAAGGAATGGAAGAACGGCAACTCGAAGCTCCTGTTATGGTGGACGAGCTGCTTGAAATCAATTCTGGCATGAGCCGTATTGAAGGCTGGAGAAGGGGAGTTGCAGAGTCTGAGGCTGAGAGTTGTGGAACATCTGTTGACGGGGAGTTCATCACGCCCACAGCAGCAGCAATGTCTCGTGTGATGCTTAACGAGCAGCACGCGTACGATAATGACCGTCGAAGCGAAGTCAGAAGCAGCCGGATACTCCCCGCGCCAACTCGAGTATCTTCATATGTTGGAGGCAGCGTGTACGAGACGGGCTCGCAGTATTCACGCCGCTCACATTCGTCCAGGCACTCCAAAAGCTCCAAAACGTCTCGGTCCCATAGTGAGAGTAAGCATAAGAAAGATGAGCTGAAGGAGAAGGAAAGGAAGAAGAAGAAGAAGCCCTCCCCCTTGAGAAAGCTGTTTAGCTGATGTCCCGCACCTTTGTTGTATTGTTCCTGATGACCGTCATGTATACGTGAGATTTTGCCACCGGATCTAATGACCTATCCGAGTGTTTCTTTTTCTTTTTCTTTTTTTTTTCCGATTGATTTATATCCCACATTTTGGATCTGCTTATACTTATCTTCATTTAAAGAGCGGGATGTCTTTTTCTTCTGTCTGTATTTTTGTTGCAGGCGTTTATATGTTCAATCTAGATATAGATCTAGATCAGCCCGTCTAGCCCGCAAGGGTGATATATAACGGGATACACGAAAAATAACACGAATCGGAACCGCAAGCTTAGTTCCTCACTCAGCTATCCACTCTTTTATCCGGTTTCCAGGTCTTCCTCCTAGTCTGTTGCTGAAATCCAACTTTGATATCTCTAACTTTCCGTCGTCGAGGCTGAAAAGGCAAGATTCGTCACATGACGTCACGTGCAGAAGGGCTTCCGATTC